CTAATAGAACCCTAGAAAGTTGTTTGTGCGACAAGGGTAACACAAAACCCAACTCTATCAAGTCCTTAAATCTCAATTCAGACACTATATGAAGCCTATGCCAACTACTCTTAAATAAGCCCTAATCCGATGCAAAAACATCTAAATCCCAAAATCTCCATGAAAAAAAACCTTCAAAAATTTCACACTTTGTCCAAGATCTCGTTGCCATCGATATGACGCCGTAAACATCCAAATTGGATGCTCAAACACAGATTTTGGTTGACTGCAAAAATATCACTGTTTTAAAAATCCCCGCCTAGACACTAGACGGTTGGTCATCGCCTTGATTAATGCCTAAGCGTTTGAAAATTAAGAAATGACGCCTAGATCTGTTGAGAGGCCCGCCTAGACCGCCTAGACACCTACCTGTTGAGGCGCTTGCCTAGACCGCCTAGACACCTGCTTAGGTTGCGATTCACTTAGACAGAAAATAAATAACTTTCATTTTGCATTTTATTTTTTTCAATAAATTATAAGAGACTTGTTGAATACGAATACACATTATATGCATGTTCCCCATATTCATTATGTTCCAATACTTCCTAATATATATGTCATTCTATTTTATAATTTATAATAAAATTATATATTTATTAAGTATAAACAGACACATATGTACGAGAAATATTATAAATTTACTTAAATCCGTCTAGGCACCTACCTAGGCCCCTCCTAGCTGTCTAGGCGTTAGACCCTAACTCGCCGCCCGACTAGCACCTAGCGTTTTTTAGAACCTTGAAAAATACATATATATTGACCACAAATGAAAACGTCTCTTCAGCCTCATTTCACAACCAATAAATTTAAGCTGGACTTCCCTTAAAAAATAAGGAAAACTAATAAAAAAATGCTTGAAAACTTTGAGTTTTAATAATAAGGGCAAAATAAAAGGCAAATTAAATAATACCAGGATTGACTTTTTAGTGTAAAAATATGATTTTTCATTAAAGTGAACAGTACCGTGTGTTTTTCGTTAAAACTCCCTAAAAAATATACTCCACAGGGCAGTATCTATAAACGATACAGGATTGCCTACTGGCATTTACAAATCATTCCGCTATTTAACAACATTCAGTTTCACAAATTTACTATAACATACAGAAAATGATGTCCGCAACCCTGTGACGCGGCCCTTGTTCAGTCTTTCGATCCAATAGATGTTCGCGAGAGAATGCCTATGCTGTCCATGTATCAGTACTAACACACCTGGATTCGCAAATTGCAAACATACCATTAACAGTTTAGAAATATAAGACAAGAAGTTATAGGTTTTCAATTTTCTCAACCCAAAACCAACAAAACTAAGCCACCACAACCTGGTAAAAATCCGGTCAGACTGCGCTCGCAAATTTTCATTTGAACATATCTATTTATGAACGAGAATAGTTTGTCCAGGAAAATTTACAGGAGTTCTTTTGAAGATTATACATGGAAAATAACACATGGAAGAAAACGTACCTAGGTAACCACCAATTTGACATTAGCAACCTCATAGGAAAGGGACAGTTCACACAGCACAAAAATCTACAAAGAAAAGAAACAGGTGGTAGAAAGAAATTAAATTCTTGTTTCACCCAGGCTCATTCGAAGCAGAGTCCATTATCGTCAAGTACATAGTATTGCTGTAAAATGATAGAATGTTTCTGCATAGCACTGTAAAGCAAATAAACAAATTTGTCCGTCTAACAAGAAATGATAAATTGAATTATCAGCTGTTTAATCATCTCTACAGAAACTATCTACACTCAAAAATTTCCCTAAAGCAGCCTCCCCTGCAAAAAATCACTTTGAAAGGGGTTTATAAAGCCAAATCTTCCCTAAAGTATCTACTCACTTCATTTCTTCTAACTATAATAGGATGAACGACGTAAGCTACAACCAACTCCACTATAAAGATAGGTCCTTTCAGCAAACAAAACAAGTACCAGTTCATGGTTTGATACTTGTGTGGTATGTAGTGCATTGGGGTACAGTATGTTGGATAAAGAAGCGGAAGAAAAAATGGTCAGTAATCTGTAAACTGGAAAAAAAAAAAAAATCATGTTGAACAAATTAAAAAAAAAAAAAAAAAAAAATCATGTTGGACCAATAGCTGTGAAAAAGGTGGAAATACTAATTAAAGAATGTCAATACAACCTTAAAGTTCCAAATGAACGGCAGAGTCCAGCTTCAATCGATTTAGTCGAACAGTCCCCAAAATGTACTCAGGCAACTCTGCGTGCTCCTTTGCCTCTATTAAAATTGCAAGGTCAACCACTATGCTTGTGACATATCCGAGGACAAGTCCGATGATACTCCTTGCCACAGATGATGATCCAATATCTACATCAATCTCTAGGAAATTGTCTTGTCTGAGATAATTGCAGGATACAGCTTTCCCCAGTAGGCAAGCTTTAGTTCCAACAGCGCGCTTAACCATCCAATATCCTTCAGCAATACTTGGAATTAACTTTAATCTTGCATTGCGAAACATGTCACTCCCATCCACAAACTTAGCAAACAAAGAATTTGGATTCGGAGGTCTGTCAGCAGCATAGTAAAGTACCAAACTATAATTTGGTTTAGATGGAACCTGGAGATTAAAGACTAGTACAAATGGAAGCTTCTTTCCAACTTCTGACTGGACAAGGCATCTGGGATGCAGTGCGAACCTATCTATGCTTTTATCAACTTTGAACCAATCTACCGCTATGAGCTTGAGAAGGGGATCTCCTCCCATTACCTTAGAATTGTCCTCCAGGTAGTTCTTTCCTCTGATCATAAATCCCTCGCCACTTGGAGATGTCCAACAGTTTGTGACGGTCTCATCCTTCCCTTTGGACAAGGAACCATGAAACTGGCTTGGATCAATAATGATTGCAGGCACTCTGGAATCCAATTCTTTACTAGCATCTGCAGCTTGAGCTCGCTTCAAAGCTAAGCTAGCGATGGCCCATGCAACATTCTTCAGTCTCACTTTTGCTTCCTTACTGTTAAGTTCATCACTGTCACTCTCTTCATCAGAAGATGAAGAGCCTGAAATTGCATCATAAAACTCATCATGCACTGCCTCAGCCTCATATTCAGCATTGGAAATGGAAGCTTCAGCTGCCTTCGATTGGATAACTGAAGCGGAAGATTTGAATATTAGTGCAGGATTTGATGCAATATAATCCTTCAGACCTGCCACTTGGCACAACAATGCATAAGGTACACCCTTTTCGAACTTCGAGTATTGATTTTTCTTCCATTTCCACCAGCCCACAGAATGTATCTCCACCGTTTGCGTCACAAGACATCGTGGAGTATTTGAACCCATGGATGTTTTCAGATCTCTAATCTCCCAACTAGATGGATTTATTTTTGTACGATGATACCCAGACCTCAGAGGCTTTTTCTTATGGACAGCTGGAAATTGCAGGATGGTGTATGTTCCATCCTGTCCACGGAACCATTGCCTAGAGAAGAGAAAATCTTTCTTGGAACGCCACCGAGAAAGATACATAGGATCAAAAGTCCCGTAGACAACATCAAAGTATCCATCATAAGAATCTATCAGCTCTAAGTTAGCTGTCAGCATATCCCACTCATATCTCTGGTGTTGGTCGAGGTTTAAAATCACTTCAAAAGCAGTATCTGCACTTGCTTCAATAACGCCAACAGACTTGACGATAACTGCCTTTTCCGCTCTCAGTGTTAGCAACATCTTGAAATATTCGAACACCATTAACTGTTCGCACACATTTCCATACATAAGCCTCAACTGCATCTCCAAAATCTGTTCGAAAGTACCCCTCTGTGTTAATATCTCCACCCATGCTTGAGGATTGACGCAAGAGCATCTCCGGGCCTTGCCCAATTTTTATAAGCCTTTTCAATCCATGTGCATAGTGCCTTACTCTAGGTCGATGACCTTCAAGATCGATCTCCTCTTCCATGTTCAGCTTCTTTCTGGCACTAGCCCCTCTTGAAAGCTCATACTCAGCCTGTTGCTTGGCTTGATCAAATGCCTCCATCCATTTCTGTGCTTCTCCCGCAGTAGCACAAGCAATTTCTCCCTTTTTGGTTTCATCCAAACGATTGTAAAACCGTAGAACATATATATCCCCACCCTTACCTCCATGATTAACCTTTCTGCGCCCCAGCTCCTCCACCATCAGCGTAGGCCCAACAGCACCCCTCCGAATGGGTCTAATACCGGGGTTCTCATGAGGATCGCGCTTATACATCTCGACATACTTTCCCCTAATGAAGAGAAACCTAAGGTGACAATACTCATGCCCTACCGTATTCACACCCAGATGATACACCCACCCAAAATACTCAAACATCCCTCCTCCTCCAACTCCACTTCTGGAGCTGGAGCTGTGCTCCGATCCATCGGACCGCTCACTGCCCACCTTATTAAACGGCGATGAGTCCATCTGCAGAAGTTAAAATGTTCTCATTTGCAGCTAAATAATCATAAACCGCAAAATTAAGTAGCAAAATTGAAGAAAAAGAGCAGGATTATTATGATTATCGGGAGCTAAACAATCATCTGCAAACCATAACTCCAATCAAATAAACATAATCCAATCCGACTCTACCATAACCGAACCCACATTTCAACATTCGCAGTTCAATAACAATGAAAACGATCAAAGAAAACAAGTTTCAAGAGAAATAGACGCGGCAATCATGAACAAAGTTCAATTCATATTTCCTTTTTTCCCACCGAGAAAACAAAATCCAAATTTTCTGAGCAACCAAACAGAAAGTAGTATCCATACCTGATCTCCGTGGCTTCGTCTGCCTACAGCTCAAAGGAGTTGACGATACAGAAACCGGAACAACTGGAACCACACATGCCGACATGGCCACTTTTTATAGTACCGTTTTGTCTTCGTGTAATTCCCCTAAATAATAGGGGTAATTCCGTCAAAACATTCAAATGTTTTTTAGGGGCAGATCTGAAAGGAAGAAAAACAAGGGTTTATGTGGGGCCTTGAATTTCAAGTTCCACAGTAATGGCGGTTTCGAGGAATTGAAGTTCCGATCACTGCAACGATCAAATGCTGAAGCTTTTGTCGTCTTCCTCGTCATGCCTCCAGGGACGACTCCACAGTCTCCCCTCCTGGCCGTCCGCTGAGCTGGGGTCGCCGGTTCTCCGAGTTCTCGGCTCGCTCGCCGGATTGACTCGCCCTAGCTCGGCTTGCCGAGCGTTTTATAGTTCGGACTCCGGCGACGGTTCTGACCAAGTGGTGGAAGTTGAGTTCATGGTGGCGGGGACCGAGGCCGAGTCTTCCTCAGCCATTGTGTCCACGAATCCCCGGCCCGAAGATTATCTTACGGTTTGTCGGCTCTGGAACTTTCGTTTTGCTTACTGGTCTGTTTGGATTCCGAGAAAATGTTGTAATATATGAGCAAATGTTTGAACTTTTTGTTAAAGTTTTAATTTTTTTTTTTTTTCTTCTCAATTTTCTGTGAGGCAGGTTATAGCTTTGCCATTGCCGCATAGACCGCTGTTTCCGGGGTTTTACATGCCAATTAATGTGAAGGTACATGAGATTATTGATTGCTATGATCGAATTTCTTTTTGGTTCGCACTTTTGCTAAATAATGTGTTGAATTTTAATATAGGATCCTAAACTGTTGGCAGCATTGCAAGAAAGCCGAAAGCGGCAAGCTCCATATGCCGGCGCTTTCCTTCTCAAGGATAAGCCGGGGACCGATCCCAGTTTGGTATCAGGTTCCGAGACAGATAAAAACATACATGAATTGAAAGGGAAGGAGTTGTTTAATCGACTACATGAAGTTGGCACACTTGCGCAGGTATTTAACTATGCTTTTGAGTTTCGTGTGTCCTTAATTTTGTGGAATAACTTGATATGCTTCGGCTAGAGCTTCCTTTTGGTTTTTGATGTTGTAGTTGGTTGTATTTTCGTATATCAGATTTCAAGCATCCAAGGAGACCAAGTGGTCCTTATTGGTCATAGGCGACTTCGAATTACAGAGATGGTGAATGGATTCCTAATACAAAGTAGTATCGTATTTTATTTTATTTTATTTTTGAGATAAAGATTGTTAAACTGAGGAAAGTTATGATTTCTCTACAGGTTGATGAAGAACCCCTGACTGTAAAAGTTGACCATCTGAAGGTATGTTTCTTTTATTTTGTCACATATATCAAATATTAATTGTTGGAGGTTCCACATTTATGATAGATTTTGTTTCGTTTTTCTTTCTCTCTTTTCCTGACTAGGTTATACTTGTTGTGCTAGGATAGCACCAAACCTTTGCCAAACCAACTCAAGCTAACCCACAGGAAATATATCAAATGGAATGCAAGAACAAAATATAAAAGACACCAAGATTTTAGCGAGGTTCCTCAACAGTCAGTGTAATTGGAGTACGTCCTTGGAGCAGTAGGAGCTCACCCAATAATCCACTATCAACCAAATGGGAGTTTACAAAGTGTTAGCTCACAACCCAAAAACCTAATACACCCAATAGCTCTCACACACCAAAGAAACAAATAGAGAAGGAAATATAATGAATAATTTTCTCTCTAACCAAAGAGAGGAGCACTTTCTTCTTCTCTTCAAAGAGGGGCTGCAGCACCTCTATTTCTTCTTCTCTGTTTTTCTGGTGCACACCTCTCTGCTCTCTGCCCTCTCTCCAAAAGTACAAACACTTGTCAAGTTGCAAAAGAAGAAGCCGAATAAACCCAATTCCATCTGCCTTTGAAAAAAGCCAAAAGAAAAAAGGAATCCTAGCCTTCCTTTTTTTTCTTCCCGGAGCAAACATCATCATTGCTGCCTTTTACTATTAGCCGAAAGTAGATGCAATTTGGCCACATATTCAACAATACTTTATATTGCAGGATAAACCATATAACAAGGATGATGATGTCATAAAAGCAACATCGTTTGAGGTTATATCAACCTTAAGAGATGTTCTCAAGATTAGTTCCCTTTGGAGAGATCATGTTCAGACATACACTCAGGTTTATTCTGTTTCTTTTTATGATGTTTGGATATCTTGTGATCTTTGTTTTTGTCTGATTATTGCTTCATCACCGATTTATTTTCTTGTAACTTCTTCGAACTTGTTGTACCTTCTTCTTGGTTTTGCCCTTATTCATAAACGAGTTGATGAAGTAACTAATTCATGATTCATTTTTTACGGAAATGATTGACTGAGTGAGTGGTTTATATAAGTATCTTTATGTGTTGATGTATTACAATCATTCGAATTTACAATTTGTTCACGTTAAATTTGTTATTGGAATTTCACAGCATATAGGTGACTTTAATTTTCCAAGGTTAGCAGATTTTGGAGCCGCAATATCTGGTGCAAACAAATTGCAAAGTCAAGAAGTGCTTGAAGAGCTAGATGTGAGTGTCACTAATTTTACATATGGTACGGCGGATAGTAATTAGGGAGCTCAGGAAGAATTGCTCAGATACCAGTAAGTGAGGCTTTTTTAGGTCGTGTTATAATGCGCCTGTCCAGGGTTGAGCCCTGGGATTTCCCTCCGCTTCAATTGGTATTTTTTCACGAAAAGCAAACATGAGATAACAAATCTAGTCATTCACTAAGATTTCAAATAGCTGTCCCGAATTCAAGTTGATTCTTTTTTATATAAACCTGTTTATTCATCTTTACAAAATTTGAATTTATTTAATTCATTTGTTAACAGCGTTCCTAATACATAAAATATAAAATAAATATATTTTATATTCTAATATATTCTAAAGATTTTAGTTTATATAAAGATATTATTAATTAATAAGTTATTTAATAAATTCAAAATTTTAATTTAAAATTTTTAAAAATGTAATTCTTTTAGAATGGGCGTGGGATAATAATTCCATATTGATCGGAACCAATCCATACGCTCCCATTTTTAATAAAATTCCGGCTACAAGCATACAAGTACTGTAATGTGCCTCTCCATGAGTGGCTGGTAACCATGTATGTAAGGAAGCTTGATACATTTGTTCCAATTATTCCTTTGATTGGATCATTGGCTAAAGTGAAATTTTGTAACGCATTAGGGCATCCTATTAGTAAGTCCACCTGGGCAGATTTGTATTTTTATTTTTGTTTAATTGTTTTTAATTGTTCATGCAAGTTGCTCATATTCCGAAAGGCTTTATAACACAGCTGTTATTGCTCAGGTGTATGAACGTTTAAAGCTCACTTTAGAACTAGTAAAGAAAGAGATAGAAATCAGCAAGATTCAGGTATGAAATGCTGATTTTCCATGGTTTTTTTTTTTACTTGAATTCTATTCTCCATCATAGTTTGATTGGCTTTTGAACTTGTCCTTTGCGGGGTAATTCTTAGGAGTCTATTGCAAAAGCAATTGAAGAGAAGATAAGTAGGTGAACAGCGCCGCTACTTGTTGAATGAGCAGCTTAAAGCCATTAAAAAGGTATTTTTCTCCACCGTTAATGAGATATTTTTCTATTTCGTGTACTTTCAGTACTGTTTCTCTCGGTTTTTTTATTTCGACCCTGGGCCTTTATGGAATTTATTTTGCTTGACATAATGCAGGAACTGGGTTTAGAGACAGATGACAAAACAGCGCTTAACGGTTCGTTTCTTATCTTTTATTTTCAATCTGTACACATCATGGTAGTGCACTCTCTCTGTTTTCTGTTCATTAGTTCTACTCTGAGTATGACTCAAGAATTTATGTGGAAACTTTAGGTAATCCATATTCTAAATACTCATTTTTCGTGTTGACAAGGGTAATTGTTGCATCACTTTTCTGATATTTTGGTGCAGATAAGTTTAGGGAGAGGCTTGAACCAAACAGGGAAAACTGCCCACCTCATGTTTTGCAAGTTATAGAGGAAGAGCTTACAAAACTGCAGTTATTGGAGGCCAGTTCAAGTGAATTTAATGTGACACGTAATTACCTAGATTGGTTGACTTCAATTCCCTGGGGAAACTACAGGTTTATGCACTACTTGAAACCTTATTGGGGCATATTTGTGATTCAAATATATTGAACACCTATCTGTGACTGGCTGTTAAATTATTTTAAATTATTTGTTGAGAATAGATACCATTTATTAAGCACTATTGCCACCCTTGTGATTTTTATTTTTATCTGTTTTGATGCTTTAGGATTTCATCTTGCCGATGTGCTCCCTTTTTCTTTGTTTTTTGTTTTTATAATTTTGGGGCAGGATTGTAGGGGTAGGAAGAAACTGATCTGGTGGGGCAAAGGATTTTTGAGAATCGCAGTACTAGCATAACTATGAAGCTATTGTCAAATAAGACAATCTGTAATGACTAATTCATATATGAGTTAGTGTATTGTTACTCAAATATTTTATTGGAGAATGTGCCTCCTTTCTGAAATTTTACCTCTAAATACAATTTTCAAAGTAATGATTTCTCTATATCAATTCCTAATGCAGTGATGAAAACTTTGATGTTATTCGGGCGCAAAAAATTCTTGATGAAGATCATTATGGATTAACTGATGTAAAGGAAAGGATATTAGAATTTATTGCCGTTGGAAAACTCAGAGGAACCTCTCAAGGTTGGTATAGTTTTCAAATTTTGTGTTTGTCTATCTTTGATTTGTTGGCATTGCCACACATCACGGAATTCCCCTGTTCCTCAGACTCTGATCTTGGCTCTTATTTTACATATATTATTCTATGGTTTTAATAAATGCTGCAAACTGTATTATTATCATTACTCATTAGTCATTACATGAGGATTACTGATGTTTTGCTTATATATCACAGGAAAAATCATCTGTTTCTCTGGCCCACCTGGAGTGGGCAAAACCAGCATTGGTCGTTCAATTGCACGTGCCCTGAACCGTAACTTCTTCCGGTTTTCTGTGGGAGGGTTATCTGATGTTGCTGAAATTAAGGTATTTGGGAATCTCCTCAGTGTGAAATATTGATAAACAGCTCTACATTATGCAACTATCTTAGGAAATTAAACTTTGAAATGTACATCCAGGGGCATCGGCGAACCTACATTGGTGCTATGCCAGGAAAGATGGTGCAATGCCTTAAAAATGTGGGAACAGCTAACCCTTTAGTTCTGATTGATGAGATCGACAAGGTAATCAATGATTGGTCCGCTTGTTTCATATATTGTATTTGAGACAAATCATATTTGTAGGTCTCCTTCCTTTTGTGGAGTGAGTAGTTATTTAAAGTTCATTTTTACAAAGATTATGTTTAATTCTGAGTTTCATACCACTTTTATGGTTTAATCTCGAATTAGCGTTGTTTTGTTTCAGTTGGGAACGGGCCATGCCGGTGATCCGGCAAGTGCTTTGTTGGAGCTTCTTGATCCGGAGCAAAATGCTAATTTTCTAGACCATTATCTTGATGTTCCAATCGATCTATCAAAGGTTAGCAAAAAGATAATAATATTTTACTTGGAGCAAAATGCCAATTTCCATTAATACAATGGTCAATTTCAAGCATGTGGTGTCTGTGTATTGGATTGTTAAATTGGTATTATCTTAACTTCACTTGTAAAGGAGAGAGGATGATTTAGGTTTCCAATCCCTTTACTCTCTCTACCTAGTGTGAGATGTGTTATCCATCATATCTTTAGTATTTAAAGCATGGTAACATGAAATTGATCTTAAAGAAGAGGCAATCGGTTGTCAATTTGGGACATTAGTTTCTTATTGTGATATATTTGTGTTTGTGGTCGGAACTATAGGAGGATATGTTCTTTCCTCACAGAATTCGTCTTATACATGATACATCTGAAAACTGTCCATGTAAGCTGTGGGATGGAAGAAATGTAAATCAAGGATATGTCCCTTCTTCTTTAGAATCTTTAATACTAACTTGGGAAATCATATATTGAAATTTTTACTGTAGGTTCTGTTTGTATGTACAGCCAATGTTGTAGAGATGATACCACATCCACTCTTGGATAGAATGGAGGTCATTTCCATTGCTGGATATATCACTGATGAGAAAATGCACATTGCTAGAGACTATTTGGAGAAGACCGTACGTGACGCATGTGGCATTCAACCTGAACAGGTACTGGTATTGGTCTCTTTATGTGTTCACGTGTCTTTGTAAATTGTCTCTGAATCATCTTTTATGTATGTTAAAATTATTATGTTTTCAGGTTGAAGTGACAGATGCAGCTCTTCTTGCCCTCATTGAAAATTATTGCCGAGAAGCAGGTGTTAGGAATCTTCAAAAGCACATAGAAAAGATCTACCGCAAGGTTTGTATAAGTATCTATATCTAGATCATCGTTGCAAACTTGCATCTTATCATATGATGAACCATGAAAACATTTATCCACGGGTTTGAAAGGTATCCCCATGGTTCTCTTAGGTTCAAGGAGCTTATTTGGAAAAGCGGAGCAAATTTATGACCTTGTTGAGCAATCATGTAGTTCCTTGACCAATGGTATACTTTAACCTATCTTTTATGATGTAGCAGATAGCTCTCCAAATTGTTAGACAAGGAGCATCAGATGAACCAGTAGTTGCTGATCAAATTCAATCTCCCCCAGATGGGCCTGCAGTTGTTGAAGTTCAGCTTGTGGACACTGATGAAACCCAAGCACAAGCTGTTGATAACCTAGATCAAAGCGTGGTTGCTAGTAAGAACCAGACTGCAGCTGAATCAGTTGAGGGTAACGGTCATAAGCATATTCCTGAAACCTCTGGAGAAGGAGTCACGATTCAGACGGATCTCCCAGATGAATCTACAGTTGCAGAAGTTCGGGTTGCAAATGCTGATGAACCTGTGGATTCAAAGGTATGTAACAAAATATAAATTCTGGGTAATGACTTGCTACTGCGCCAGAAATGTTTTGAATGTAGTTGAATATAATTCCTGTTTGTTTCTCTGATATAAATTTATTGGGCAGTTAGCTATTTATTTAGAGCTAGTTAACAATCTGTATGATGAAGCAGAGAGAGTTTGGAAAGATTCTCTTAGTTTATTTTACATATGTAAAATGTGAAGGAAAAGAATTTTATAATTATTGGAAAGAAAATAAAAACAACTTAATTTTAAGGCTAGCATGTAGAGAGTATCGATGATGTGCAAACTCCACATAAAATTAAATCTTTTTAAACTGCCTTTTGGTGCTCATCTTTTTCCTCCTGATATACCTTCAGCTCAATGTTTTCATGACATCTATAATGATGTCTGAACTTATGCATTCACCCACTAAGGATCTTTTATAGCTGTTCTTACAGGATGCAAAAGAAACAGAGAAAATTCAGGAGGGTGAAACAACAAAAACAGTTGAGAAAGTTTTGGTTGACTCATCAAACTTGGATCATTTTGTTGGCAAACCTGTCTTCCATGCTGAACGAATCTATGATCAGACCCCGGTTGGAGTTGTTATGGGTCTTGCTTGGACTGCCATGGGTGGTTCTACGTTGTATATAGAGACCACTCAGATTGAGGAAGCAGAGGATAAAGGATCCCTTCATGTCACTGGCCAACTTGGTGATGTTATGAAAGAAAGTACCCAAATTGCACATACTGTTGCCAGAGCTATATTGCTCGATAAAGAGCCTGATAGCACGTTCTTTGCAAATTCCAAGCTTCATCTCCATGTTCCTGCTGGGGCCACACCAAAGGATGGTCCTAGTGCTGGTTGCACCATGATCACATCCATGCTGTCCGTTGCCATGAAGAAGCCTATCAGGAGGGATTTAGCAATGACAGGAGAAGTAACACTAACTGGGAGGATCCTTCCAATAGGCGGGGTATGTTAATCAACTCTCTCTCTCTCTCTCTCTCTCTCATACATACATAGAAGTAACAAACTGTAAAAAATCTCGACAAACAAGCATTAAATCAGATTTTGGTCGATGCTCTCTCTCTCTCTCTCTCTCTCTCTCTCACACACACACACACACACACCCACACACACACACACCCACACACACTCACCCACTCACATTCACACACCTATATAGTTCTTATGAATTAAGTTACGGGATTTCTTTTTATTTTCTGTATGCTTCAGGGAGATGTACTCTTGGTTACCTCATGATGAATTTTCAAGCAACATGCTTGCGTTTTTTCAGTGTTTTGTGTTCTTAAATTTCATTTTTGTAAACAATTTAGGTAAAGGAGAAAACGATAGCTGCAAGGAGGAGCGAAGTGAAGACCATCATATTCCCTGCAGCAAACAGGAGGGATTTCGACGAGCTTGCCCCTAATGTAAAAGAAGGTCTTGATGTTCACTTTGTAGATGACTACAGTCAGATATTCAATTTGGCTTTCAGGTGATGACCAGAATTAGGAAAAAAATAATCCGTTCTTCCTCACTAATTAAATTGGATGCTTTTTTTTGTAGTCCTTGAGACTAGTGGTAAGCTTTTGTCCTCCACTAGTCTTTGCTTCTCTTCTGCTTTGTTTGTAGTTTCTCACTATTTGTTCTCCGTTTTCTCTTCAATTTCGCAACGATTATACTGAAATCCTTCACTTCAATTGTTTGACACAAATTCAAAACTAGTACATACGTCTTGGATCTCCTAAAAACCTTTATTTGATTTTCAGACGACAAAGGTTTCCAATTTTTCAATCCAATATTTTGAAAGCGATTTTCTTTCCATTTCTGGGATATTCGGAGTTTTATGCTACTATTGTTTTCCATGCCTCCTTGATTTGAAGTCTTTTTCTTTGTCACCAGTCACCACGAGCATGGGATTGAGATGGATGCCATACCAAAAGCATCGAAATAGTGAAATTTGCAGATTTTGGTAAACCTCTCACGGTCCCATGGTGCTAAGATGCAACCAATTACGGTAATTAATTTGCATATTTTGGGGAAGAGATTTATTGTGGTGGAAATGGAATTGATATCCTTGGTGTTGGTGAGTGTGTAGCGGTTCCATCCGTGTGGGCATCCAACCTAAAGAGCGTGAGAGTGACGGCAACTTGAGAGGAACAAGGCATTGGATGATGTCGTAATCACAAACAAAATGGAAGTCAATTTTGATGTATGGTGGTCAAGATAACAAAAACACTATGTCAGTATTGAAGGAGAGTTTGAATTCGGAATGCATTCTGTTGTGTGTGTATATATATGTATATTTTATTACAAGCGGTATTTTTATTCGAAAGTACTCTAAAGGCAGGGGATAGAGTTTGAACACCAGATGCAATTGGTTGAATAGTAAGGCTTTAACTATCATGCCAACCCACACTTACAATATAAAATTCTTGTTCAAATGTAATGATTGTAAAGCTAAGGAGGTGGGTGAGTTTGAATTCAGGACGCAATGCGTTCAGAGAGCAATCCACCACTTGAATATTTTAAGAATGATTCCTCTAAAAAGTGTATTGGCACCATAGCGGGAAACGGTCATTTTCAACATTTCCATTCTAATCAATTTCTTATCAAATTCCATGTACCTAAACCCTAAATCCTAAACCCTCAATGGCATGGATTTTTCTAGTTTGGATGAGTTTTTTTGTCCGTTTGAGTTTTGTCATTTTTGGGATCATTGTTTTTGTTGCCTTATTGGACTTGGTGCCTTAGTTTTATTGTTGGAACTCGGGAGTTTTCTAGGGAAATTTGATATTTTGATAAATAAAAATTAAATGCTAAAGAAAAATATTCATGTTCTATAGTATATTAAACATAATTCCAGAGATGATATAAATTGAATCTTGAACACCCCAATTTCATTATCAATCAAATTCTAATTTTTAATGCTTTAAATATACATATTTTCTTATTACAAGCGATTTAGTATTCTAAGCTATAATAAAGAAAAAATCAGTGTCTAAGCTCGAGACGCAGCGATCATTTAGTATTACAGTTTTGTGATATTTTTGTACATTTATAAATGACAGATACTAAGTTTAATTCTTATTGATGATGTATTTTAACGAAATTATTACGCCAGACCAATTGTATAATTTAACTCAATTCTTTTACTTTTTTAGTGTAAATATATATCGTTGTATTAAAAAAAACAAAACACTCGATTATAACAAAATGTTTTACTCACAAGAGTAATCCACTATTTGTTTCCACCGTTTTGATTTTGGTGGAAGATAGTTAACATGAAAATGCATGTAAGACAAAAAGAAAAAGGAAAGCAGCGAAAAGGTTGGTGGGTTTTCTTTTTGGTTTGTTGGAGTGGAAAGGACGTAAGTCGCGGAATTCATCAATTACATTGGATATACGACCAAAAACAAAAAAGAACCATAAATAATTAGATATTATAAAAAGAGAATTATTATTTACATTTTTAAATTTTTATTTTGCATTTTTAAATTTTATATAAATAAAAAAATACATTTTTAAAGAATATAAAATAAAAATTTTAAGATACTAATAACGGTTATCTAAACATTTTAAATAAAGAAAAACCAAATATAAAGGGCCACTCACTGTTGTACAGAAAAAGACAGAAAATAAGGAGCCGGAACCTCAATACCCAGTCTGTCAAATCGACAAAATCCCCATACTTTTGTCTCTCCTCTGATCCAAGACTCCAATCTCTCTCCTCCTTCTCCTTCTCCACCTCCGCCCACGCCAAGGTCTCTCTCTCCTCTCTTTCTCTCTCTCTAAATATATATATATATATATATATATCTCTGTATTGTAGGAGTTTAATACTTTAACTACTGGAAACGACTGTTACATTTGTTTACTTCTTCAATCTTTCATTTGTGTTTTTTGTTGTTCTGTTGGGGTTGTGGGTTTTCTGTTTTGTTGTCAAAGGAATGAACTTTGTAGTTGGTTTTATCAATCATATCCTATGTATGTACATTGAATGTCTGAATTCCCTTGTTCTGGTTTTTACTCATTACAGTGTGATCAAGGTTTTTTTAAACATGAAATTTTGTAAAGTTTGGAGCTTGAGCGTGCTGATCTGTGAAATTTTTGTAAAGTAGTTTTTTTTTCTTGATTTTTTGGTAACCAATTCACATTGGTCTGCAAACACTCAATAGCAGTTTTGTAAGTGTTGAATTTTGGGGGAATAGAGAGCATTTGGGTGGGTTTCAATAGAAACTCTCCTTGCAGTATGAATTACGATGGGGTTGTAAATTATGAGTTGTTGCAGTTCATAATATTGTCTGGGTCAATTTTATAGAAAAGTTCTGTGTAATTCCATTATATTTTACTTATTTAAGTGGAATTGCTTATCGTAGGTATCTCGAAAAACTTTTGTGGAAGTTGGATAAGATCACAGAAGGGTTTAATGCTGCTATTACATTGTGTTCTGCACAGCTGAATTTGAAACTTTTAATTTAAGCTGTGTTGGAATAGGAGAATTTCTGCGTTTGGGAAGTTTGAGGTTGTTTTTCGTTTGTAATAAATAATGATTGGGAGGAAGAACATGGGACGAGCTTCACCATTACTTCTCGTTCTTTTGGCTCTTGGTTTTCCTTTGCTACTTATAATTTGTTAACTATGATAATTCATCATAGATCTGTTGGGAAGTGGGTAGGTGATAATACGAATAGTGGGTTACTGTCTGACCCGATTGTTGAGATGCCGGAGAATGTGAAGAAGTTCAAGAATACCAAGGCACCATTCCATGTTGCCTTAACGGCCACCGATGCCCCTTATAGCAAATGGCAGTGTCGCATTATGTACTATTGGTATAAGAAGAAGAAGGACTTGCCTGGATCAGATATGGGAGGATTTACTCGAATTTTGCATTCAGGAAATCCTGACAATTTGATGGATGAGATTCCAACTTTGGTGGTTGATCCTCTTCCTGCAGGCCTTGATCGGGTTAGGCTTCCAGCAGTCATTTATTTGTTATTATATTTGTATTGTCTTTGTGTATTTCATTCATCCTTTCTTTACTAACTTTTAGTTGGGACGTCTTATTTTCGCCTCAAGTGGTACCTTCGATACACCAATTGAATGTGATTGTTTCTATTTGCATCATTTTATGTTTTAATCTAAAGTCAAAATAAGGGGTCTTGGCAATATTAGTAATGTGTTGGGAGTTATACAAGAGTTTACTGAAAATAAAAGAGAATAAAGGAAAAGAGTCATAAACAAAAAGAAGGTAAAGAAAAAGCAAAGGACGATGCCATTTTTTTGTGCTGAAGCTAAGAATGGTTTTGAGTGGATGAGAAGCATTGCATCTTAGTGAAGAATAAAGTTTGTTGAATTTCGGGGTCCATGCTGATCCACTGTATCACCATTCTCAATGATTTTCTGCTCATTGGATGGCACCTGATAGTTGTAAATCCAAGTTTTGAATCTAATGATTAGATCCTTTGTGTAGAGTTACTGATATTTTTGTTGCTCTTATGCAATATTTTCAGAAAAGGTCATTTTTTTGACTTTTTGGATATTTTCTGTACTTTTTGAGTTTAACTTTTAAGTTGATTCATGTGTAAAGCTTAGACCTTGCAAGACAATAGTCGAAGATTATTTTTCATTAACCTTTATATGAACAATAAAGAGCGTGATTGCAAATTTTGTATACAGGGGTACATTGTCTTAAATAGACCATGGGCTTTTGTGCAATGGCTGGAAAAGGCTACAATTGAGGAAGAGTGAGCTTCTGCATATTTGAAGACCTTGAGTTTTCTTATTTTCTGTTTTTTACTTGAGATCAAATTCTTTGAATTCTGTTGTTGCAGATATATTTTGATGGCGGAACCCGATCACATTTTTATAAACCCTCTTCCTAATTTGGCACATGGAGGATATCCAGCTGCCTACCCATTTTTCTACATTAAACCTTCTCAGAATGAGAAGATCATTAGAAAGTTTTATCCTGAGGAGAATGGTCCGGTCACGAATATTGATCCAATTGGAAATTCTCCTGTAATTATTAAGAAGGTAATAGCTTGTGGTAAACTGTTATTTCCTTCGCTGTGTCTAGCATTTGAAATGGTCCTTCTTATGTTTGAGAGATTTAAAGAGTGCTGTCATTGTCACTCCAGAAAAGTCATCTTGCATTCCTCCCAAGTGTGTTTTCTCTTGTATTTATATGTTTGGAGTGCAGAATGACTTTTTCCGAGTGCTAATAGCAGCACCCTATTTAAAATGTTGATGTTTCCTTGTATAATTTCCCATTTTCATAGATGACTCCTGGAACTTTAACGAGTAAATGTAATTATTCAGGATTTGCTGGAAAAGATTGCTCCTACATGGATGAATGTTTCTTTGAGAATGAAAGAAGACACGGAGACGGATAAAGCTTTTGGATGGGTGCTAGAAATGTAAGTTTGACTGTGACTTCAGTTTTCGACTAAGTTGAGTTCTAGCAACTAGAGATGCCAGCTTTGACATATCCTTGTGTCTTATTTTCTTTGATGAACTAAGGTATGCTTATGCTGTGGCATCTGCTTTGCATGGTGTGCAGCATGTTCTTCGGAAAGACTTCATGCTGCAGGTTTGGAATCTAACCTATAGAAGCTCTTCATATCAAAATTGATTTGCATTTTGAGTTCTTTGTTAGGTTCAGTAAACAACACTAAATGTGAATACGTTGTGATTAACAATGTTCTATTGTCTTTAAATTTTC